TTATAATGGACGCCACATCATAATTGGACGGTCTCGTTAAAAAATTTTAATCAGCCTCAAAAGTTTACGAGGCCCGCTATGAAAAGGCTTCTTTGTAGGCTCAATGGCAATTATGTTGTGTTGATTGTTGAAGGTAATTAATATTGTTGCAAATTTACAAGCAATTTATCGACAATATGCTAAAAGAAATTATAATAAAAAAATATACTTTCTTCAAACTATAAGCTTACTTTGTACTTAGATGAAAAGCTGTTAAGGTAAAGAAATCTTTTAATGTAAAAAAAACGAAATGAAGGGGCTGCAATTCCTTGATTTCAACTATAAAGTTGTATGGTCAATACATTTTTGTATAGCTTTCAATTATTTTAATTTTCTAATGCATGGTGAATTTGGAACGGTGAGTTAAAGGTCTAAGGACATGAAAGAGCCAATTATTCTAAGTAGCTCTTTTACTCACTCTTTGCAAAGGGTCAATGGTCCAAATGGCTCTTCAATCAACGAGCTATCTTTGATCTTCACGATTGATTTTCTGCACAATTTTATTTGTAAAAACACATGTGATAGCTTAAAAGAGGGTAATCAAATAAATCAGTTATGCGATTTTTTATTAATCTACTAGCTTTCGTTCGCGACTACGTCCGCGTAGGAAAAAAAAAATTTGGTAGCCTATGTGTTCTTCCAGACTATCCTCTACATCTATACCAAATTTCATCGAAATCCGTTCAGTCGTTTAGGCTACAAACTCTTAGTGTAAAAAAATAGTTTTAAATGCGTGCTCTATATTAAAAAACTTAAGGGAATAGTTCAAAGTTCTATGTTTGAATATAGTCGTCTTCGTCTACAGTTAAAAATATTATACGCAAAATAAACCATCGCTTATAAGCTGAGACGATTACCGATATTACCACGGTAATATCTTTGAAATAACATTTAATCCCTCATGTTGCTTTAATCGGTTGTACCCGTGACACTTACATCATGTCGACCTCTTCGCAGCCCGTTATAAAGCACTAGCACACAGAACGCTATAAAATGATTACAAGATTTCGCCCGCAACTTCGTCCGCGCGGAATTAAATAAAAACAAATGTAGGTAGCCTATGTGTTCTTCCAGACTATCCTCTATGCCAAATTTCATCGAAATCCATTAGGCCACTTAGGCTTCAAACTCTAACAAATATCCATACATCCATCCATCTAAACTTTGCATTTATAATATTAGTATAGATTCGTAAGATTAAAAATATCGTAACCACGTTCTAGGTTTTTCTTTTTTAGGATAGATTCCTCTACGTTACAACTATACAATTTTCTTCACAAATTCAGACTACACATTTCCCAAAAATAATTTCACAATTCTCCACTAATAATGATAATAATAATAATAATAATCATTTAATTCATTCATAAAGCAAACACTATATAATTAATTACACAGTTGAAAACAAATCTGATTAACGGAAGAAAGTTACAAAGATACACAAAAAAGAAAAAAAAATGTATACATACACACATTAGTAAATATAAAATTATATTGTAACGGTTTCCAAAGCTAGTTTTTAACGTAACTCTAACCATTAGAATTTTAGTTATAGTTAAATTTATTGTTTTTAAATTAACTATTTTTTTTCTTTACAGTTTTCATCGCGTTATAGTATCGCTGGCTGTGTGGTGGTCTCCTAACGCAGCCAGGTTGCAGCGTACGTTAGTGACAAAGCCGGAAATTACAGGCCGACAGCGTGGAGTGCACGCGACACCGCACTATGCTCATGTGATGTGCAACGTTAAATTGCACAGTTAATACGTTTTCTATGGAAACTAGTGATGTGTATTTAGTAAAGGTGAGCTTTATGTTATTTGTAGATAGTAGTAACTTTGCATTTGTAAAGTGGATAGAATAAATAGATAGAAAGAGATAGAAATATTCTATGATTGTTTTACACTACACATTGTGACTTTAGTAAAATGATGTAAGTCGTTACTTAATAAATTTAACTAGAATTTTTCTAACTTAAGTAATATTTTCATTAAATTGTAGGAAACTTATCCTACTATTCTTAGTGCAAAGGTTTAGATGTATGGATGTTTGTTACATTTTCGGCCTAAACGGCTGAACGGATTTCGATGAAATTTGGCATACACGAGAAACAAAGTCTGGTAAAACACATAACACCTTTACGTAGGCGAAAGCTAGTCTATATATAAACTAGAAAAAAATTGTTACACTCATGAATTTTTATTGGCCATCGTCATATTTCACTAAACGCAGTTTTACGGTTTGCCTAACGACACCCCACATCCCCATTATACCCTTTACATTACCTTGAGAGCCTTGAAAAATCGCGCGGCCGCTGCCCTAATAAATAGTTCACGATTTATAGGAGGAAGGAGTGACCATAAAAATGTATGGAATTACCCTCGGTGGCACATCGCCTTTTTGCTATTCATAAAAGTGGAATATTTATGTGTTATCGTCAAAATATTTATTATTGTGTCCGTTCGGTAGCCCTTCCAGCCCTTTGTGCGACGGTACAAAAAAATTGAGGGTGTGAACAGGACATGTTTGTTTAGAGATGTCCCTTAACGGTATCGAAATTGAAATAATATTTAACTAACTAGGTTACTTAATAAACATTGAAAAAATGTTGTCTTTTTCAACATCTTTGGCAGAACCATAGCAAGACTTTACATAAAGCAAAGTAAAAATTAAATCATGTTAATAAAAATAAACAAATCTATTCCCTATATTACACAGAACATCGTGATAATTAAAGAAACTAAAAGAACTTGGAGATAATGACATAATGCAGCATTTTAATTGTAGAAAATAATAAAAAAAGGATGGTAAATTTCCTTTGGTAAAGCATATTATCGATATGCTTCTAATGGTATCCATCCCTAGCGAGAGAAGGTTATGAAATATGTGATTCCTTATACAAGAGAAGTCCTTTATGTACCCCTTGGGACGCACTGGTCAAGTAGGTTATCACAAGTAGCCTCGGGCGGAATGAAAAATTTATGTCTCAATATAGCTTCGTGTCTTACATTACTACAGGATGGACCTCTCTGGGGATGGCTAGATCAAATTTTACTGATGCGCTTTGTCTTAAAAGAAGACATTCTTGTGGCATTCAAAATGCGAATTAACTGGAATGTACATGCCACTTGCTGGCTCATTGACTTTGGCCACAGGCATGTGTAAACACATATTTCGCAAGATTTAAAACTTTGTGACAGTTACGGGCATACAAGTTAAAGAAGAGGTGGTGGCCGTAAACTGCAAGCTAGTGTTCCATTCTTTGCCATGGGTATTCCCGTCCTTGCCTATCTAAAACAGTGGATAATACTAAAACTTCCGCAGTATGCTTATCAATAGAATTTTGATTATAAAAAAATGTTATTAAAACTTTGTCTTTGTTCAGCTTACAGCCGAATATTGACACGTCATTTAAATGTAAAAGTTTAATTTTTAATAATATGGCCACTCTTAAACTCCAAATTCCTTTGACATCAGATGGTAAGCGACGATTACGAAGCGAACTATTTGAGATTCGCTTCAGTATATAGCAAACTGTAGGACCGTGGACAGAGATAGGCCGATAGAAGTTGCTGGACGAAGCCAAGGCCTACCAAGGGCTGTAGGGCTGTAGAAGAAGAATGTTTAAGAGACATGTAGCTTGTACAGAATTTATTACTCAATTATAGTTATTTAGGGGTATAAAATGGGATAACTTAAAGAGATGTAAATGTAGAAATTGTCGGATCATTCACCCGGCCTCAATTGGCAAATCAAAATATAAAGCGCACCATCTTTCGTCACAAGAAGCCTTTCAAAAGATTGCTTTCTGAGATAACATTAATATTATCATTAACAGTAAGTGGGTAGGCGACAGAGGAACGACTAGTCATGATATCGACCACTCAGCTAGACCGTTGTCTCTTCTATCTTGAATGATTATATCTTTGATAAAATGCAAAAGTCATGTCTTGCTAGAGGCCTAAGTAAGTTGGTTAGGTTAATAATAGAGGACGGCAAGGGGCCAAGTTGACATTTGACGTTGATTCACTATTGTCCCTTTCATTTCGGCTGACGTCACTCGTAATATTGAACTGTTCAGGGATCTTAAATGGTTACCAATTTAATTACCTTATTCAAAACAACTTCGAATTATTGAGTCTTATTAATAAAATGTTGGATTTATGTCCTTTGTATGGGTTACAATAAAATTTACGTATTTAAACGTATTTTCGTAAATTATCACATAAATGTTTAGTTTCACTTTGATTTCTATGAGCTTATATTGCGATGCGTACAATGCTCGATTTTTAGTTGTGCAACTAAACAGTTGAATTGGCTGAGAAACAATCGACAATCGCACAAAAGTTGTGCTATAGTTTAGTCAAAGGTGTGCGCCTGATCTTAATAAGAATTATTTTAGACTAACTTTCGCCCGCGACTCCGTCTGCGTGGAATTAATAAAAACAAAAGTGAGTAGCCTATGTGTTCTTCACACTATCCTCTACTTCTATACCAAATTTAATCAAAATCCGTGCAGTTGTTTTGGCTACAAACTTTAACAAACATCCATCCATCCATCTAAACTTTTGCATTTATAATATAAGTAAGATAGTATGATAAAATTATTTATAAATAATCTCTATAGAGATAAGAAAATTTAGACAGGATGATTATTTAAATCCTTTTCTAGCGTGAGCAAGATGTTTATTTAGTCAAGGAATTGACACTTGCCACTTCAGCTTGATTCCTCAGAACTTTTTGTCAATCTTAAAAATTCAATAGAAACGGTTTTTTATTCAAACCAAGTATCACCTGTCGCCAGATGCAAAACTCTATAACAATAATCTAACGAACTGATTCAACGTCGGCTTCTTTGGGTGGTCTTAATTTTATACGACACCTAACAATATACAATTTTTAAATTTGGACTCTATGTTTTACGAAATAAAGTGTATTTTAAAATTATTGTTTATGTACCGTGGAGTGTATTTAGTCTCATTTGACGAAAATAACATCAAAGAAATTGCCATATCATGATATCAGATTGAAATTAAACGTGAACAAAAAGACATAAATAGAAAAGTTAACAATATTTTAATCTATAGAAATAAAGCTTAAATAATTCCCGCATTTTAATGAGTAATATTTTTATTCATAGACTAGCTGTTGCTCGCGTAATTGCCCGCATGAAATTATAAAAATATATAAAAATAGTAGTCTAAGTTACTCACTGATAACGTGGCTTTTTAATGGTGAAAGAATTTTTAAAATCGGCCTAGTAGTTTTTGAGTTATTTAAATGAATACAAAAATAAAAATCTTTCGTAATATTAGTATACATGTAGATAATTTTGCTATAAAAATAAACATAGAAATTTTTATTTCAACAGCGGAAAAAAAGATGAAAAAAAAATATTTTATTCTATTCGCCATTATTTTGTTAAGATACGTAAAGTGATTCTTTTTTATAAATTTTTATTTATATTAGCAAAAGAATACCCTTGAGTAATAACTCAAGCGAAAGCCTTATTCTGATGAATTGTTGTTGAAAAATTTAAATAACAGAAAAGCGCTTCATTTACAACTCATTTTAAATCGTTCACAAGTAGGGAAGATAAATCATCGTGAACCCTTGCTGGATGAAGTCGCGGCAGGTGCAGCCATCGATCTCCGTCCGTCGGTGTGACAATATGACATATGAGACAATCCGGCCCATGCAAAACGGGTAGACGTGTATCGGTTAGGTTTACATGCCACGGAAATTTTGTCAATATGAATTTATTGTTATAATGTTTTAATTCTGTTGTCCTTATTTTTGACCAACTTCCCAAAAGAAGGAGCTACTCAATTCGGCATATCTTAAGAAAAGGATGATTGAATTTAAAATAATTATAATTTTGACATTTTATAGCATAAAAATAGGTGAAACTCATGTAAAATTATAGATAGAGTTTTAATGTGGTATTTTTAATTTTATTCCGGTTTTTAAAGACTTTGGCTTTACAAAAGTATATGTAGTACAATGTGTTGAAATAAATGTATTCACGCCTTACAATTTGAACGCCATGTAAACCGTGCAAAGCATCGCTTTGACAATTTACATCGCAAATTGATGCGAGGTGTCAAGTTTGGGGTCGATCAAAATTTCAAATAGACTGTTGTAAGTGGATTTTTGGGGGCTCGGTGTAACCGTCGAGAAAATTGATGCTGTCAAAGGAGGTTCATTCAATTTGCGGCTTATTAATCAACTGGCAGGAGGGGCCAATTACTGGAGCATTCGCTTTGTTTCTATAGAGATATAGCGCATTGCAATTAACTATATTTTTATTACGCCCGCGACTATGCCCACGTGTAATTGAAATACAAAAAAAAAACAAAAGTATATGTAATAACTATGTGTTCTTCCAGACTGTCTTTTACATCTAGGCCAAATTTCTTCGATATGCGTTCAGTCGATTAGGCTACAAACTCTTACAAACATCCATCCATCTTAACTTCCGCATTTATAACATTAGTACGATATCAATTGCATAAAATGATGTGAGAATATTTTTAGCTTTTAATAATTTGAATTTGGAACAATTTTGAAATCCTCTAATTTTTAAAACAAATAAAAATCGGCCAATAATATGTTCTCAAATTGCGTTCGTATTCAATTGTTTCGATCGATGGAGTCTATTACGGATGATTACGAATGAAAAAAATCGATTATAGTTGTCATCGCGACGAATTATGCAACCGATTGAACCGATTCCCGCACGATTCGATTACACCGGGCGACAGATGTCTGCGAACGTGACGAATTTTGACTAAACTGGATAAT